AATGTGACTGCCCGGGTGGGTACCAACAGGGTGAGTTTTGAGGGCCCTTGAAGTTTGGCTTCTGCCTGGACCCCGGGGGGCCCACTTCCGATGTAAACCCAGACCAGGTTCAGATCAAGTGGGAGTTCTTCAAAGAGAAAGTTTGATGAGAAACTAAGAGGAGAAAAGAAAAACCTCATAGGACCATAAACACCACAGGCTTATAAATACTTAATCCTTATCCGGGCTTAATGGATAGTTTAACTTGTGTGACTCAGCACCCCAGGCTCCTTACCCACCTCACCCTTTACTGGGGATTCCTGCACCAAATTACTCTTCAGATCTTGTTCTATTACTCTATTAACTTCTCTTTTAGTGTAACAACACACATTTAATATGCCCATCCATGCACATCTCCCCACACACGACTTCTTGAAGAGGAGAAACCAGGACAGAAGTTCCAAACGGTATCTCCTTAGCCTGTCAGAGCCCTAAACTTTCAGTAGTGTCGCCCCAACCTGAGAAATAAACCATCACTTTCTAGTAACTGTCTGTCACCAGTCAGACAGTTTTTGGCAGACAGTTTTAGCTTTTGGCAACTCCAGGAGTGTCCCCTACTCCTCCTTTGTTAATAATTAGTAGTCCTTACCCTACTGGTTCCAGAAAATGGGAAAAAGTGGGAGTGGGGGAAGACTTCAGGCAAATGACCCATCAAGCTACAAGAGAGGAGCTCTTAAGAAAGCCCAATGACTTTGGAGGATTGTTTTTTTTTTTTATATATATATACAAGAACTGGGGTACAGGCCAGATGGGCAGGAGGGTGAGAGGATTCACCAGAGACAGAGTGGGGAACAGAACAGGCAGACTGACGAAATACACTGCTGAGGGGAGCAGCCGCGCCATGTGGGTTGCTCCTAGGTGGGCGGGGATCGAACCGGCACTGCAGAGGCTGGGGACAGCTTCACAGCAGGTCACTCAACCGCCTGAGCCACCAGGGGAGGCCAAGAAAGCCCAATGACTTTGGATGCTGAAGACTAGAGCTGGTTCTAGGCTTACCTGTCTTAATGACTGTAACTTTTTTTCTCATCCACCTTTCATACACACATGGGAACCCTACTTTATGCTGTGGTAGGCGAGGGTAGAGTGACTATGTCTAATTACAATTGAACATGAGAAATGCTTCAGTATTTTAGGGAAGTCTAGAAAGGGCAGTCATATCACAGCCACTCACATCCAGACCAGGTGAGAAAAGAGGGTACCAGAGTGTGGTGATTGACCTGTCCCAGGGAGAAAGCACCTCAATTTTGTTACAGGGGCCTCTGTTGGAGGGTTTTTGGGTCTAGATATCTGTGTTACTAAGAACTACTCCTTGTGTCCATGTATTTATTTACATGAACTTCTAGTTGTAAGACTAACTGTTTATTCTAAGTATCGGCTTATTTACATAGTGGTGAGCTAGAGGAGAAGTGGTTTGAGAGAATACCGATATGGAATTTTTCTCTGATTGGAAGAAATTCTGTTGTCAGACCCTACTGGGTAAGCCAGGGAGATGTTCCTGAGGGCAGTTATTATCTTTGCAGGAAAAGCAGGGTTTCTGGGTGTGGGGACTTTTCATTTTACTCCCACCTCTTTATGCAAGCCTGTTAGATTCATAATGAAAACCCAAATGAGGACCAGGATCATGAAAAATTAACTCTAAATTAGGCAATGTAGATTAAGAAAGACAAAAGTCATAAAGTTGAGTAAGAAGAAAATAAACAAGGCAAATTTTATTTACCAACTGTCTTTTTGCTGTCGCCATCTTTAATAAACATTTTGGAAGTTGGAAATAAGTTGGCATTGTTCTCCTCTACTTAAGATACAGAAAGCCTTTTGTCAGTGTTTCTTTGAAGCACTATGTTAATAGAGATGACCCATTCTTATAAAATATTTTATAACTCCCCTTTACAACAAATGCAGGAATAATGCTAATATGTGACCCTGGCTTACATACATTACCTTATAATTCTACTTTTTATACAGCAACCATTCATTTTTGAAATTCTAGTATATAACATGCTTTCTTACTATTAGCAAACTTAATCTTCTTATATTATTAACCAAGATGTTCCACATTTTGTAGTCTTTCCTAAAAAATAAAGCCTTCCTTCAAAATTGTAATGGCTTCAGTATAGGTGTCAAAAGTAAAAAGTCTTTAAACCAATAAACATCTATTGTAAAATAACTACTACTATCACATATTTTATAAAATGATTTAATCTGCAAGTTCTTAGTTGTTCATCCTTAGAGTTGAAATATATGTTTCAGATTCAACTAAACATGAATACATGTGCTTGGAAGCCCCAACTATTCCAAGAGGCTTTCTGAAAATTTTGTGTATGCACTAGAAATTGACATGTTGGTCAGATTCCTTCCTGCCTAGGCCTTAGTCCTATATTGCTGACATTCAGTTAATGTTAAATAGGAATATCCTGTAGGGCAATGAGAGAGCATAGCTCCCTCTCCTGTGCGAAATAGAAGATGCCACTTGTAGGGAAAGGAACTCATTCATAAACTCAATCATGTGATCCACAGATTGATTAGCATTTGCTATGTTTAAGGACTGCAAAGGTGGAAAGACAAAGTCTCTGCCCTAATGGATATTAGAAACTAATGGCAAACAGATGTTCAAACAACTAGAATATAGTGTAGTTATTGTAGTCATGGAGGTTGGCCCAGTGGCATAATAGGAAATTTCACAGAGGAGATAGCACCAGCTGAAACTTGAAGGTATGACGGAGTTTGCCAGTGGCATAGGCATAAGAACATTCCAGAGCATAAAAAGATATGATGGCTTGAAAGAGCATGTCAGATTCAGGGAGAGGGCCAGTAGTTCAGTATGGCTAGATATTAGGCTTAGCGAAAGATGACTATGAGAGTAGCAAGGGACCAGATCACCAAGTGCTTTATGTATGGTGGTGAGAAGATTTGATTTTGACCAAAGCAAAGAAGTAATTACATTGGATTGTAAGAAAAACTGTGCTAACATGGAAGAGCAAAAATGTAATCCCAAATTAAAATTAAAAAGAAAAATTGTTCTGGCATCAGGCAAGGGAGGACGAAACTAAATCTGGGTAGAAGGAAAGGAAATGCATGGGTGGTTTCAAGAAATCTTTAAGAAGTAAGATGGCCCAGGTCTCTGACTTCTTTTGTTGATGAGGTGGTGATATCTTCAAAGAAACAATGAATACAGAATATAAAGCAGAGTAGAGACAGTGAATTCAGTTTGGAGCTTGCTAAAATTGAAGCATCCATGGTCCAGCCAAGTGAAAATGTCCATGAGCTAGTTGACACTTTTGTGTTTGGAGCCCAGGTAGGTGTCTACCTGGAGAGATAGATTTAAGAAGCATCCATCATGAGAATAGATGAGCTTGAGTTGAAAAAAGCAAAAATTTGCTATTGAAACTGAGACTTAGAGGTTATGTGACCTGCCTTAAAAGACAAGATGAAAACTTGAAACTATCTCTCTGTCTCTTCACTGACAGCATGCTATCCCACAGAGATAGTACAAAGAGGTGGCCAGCATAGAAGAAGAGGGCAAGCCTGGGAACTATGGTGTATTATAGGAAAAATTACAGAATTTAGAACTAGAAGGGACTGGAGATCATCCTATCCTGTTGCAGGTAAGGAAACCAAGGACTAGGGATTTATCTGTCTTATGATATAGTCAGAGAATAACTGAAAAGAAACCCAAAATTGATTGTAGCCCAGAGTTTTCTCCAAGAGGATTGGAAAAAGAGGTAAACAGTGTAATAAAATACCGACTCCTCCCTAATCTGCTATCTCCATAGATGGTTATTACTCTGTTCTAGGTACTGTTCTTAGTATATTACAGACACAATTTTGTTTCATACTCAGAGCGACCCTATGAGATAGACATTACTGTCATCATCCCTATTATTTTTTTTTTAAATAAAACAGACAGACCAAGTAACTGCTAAGCAGTAGAGGCAGAATTCAAACAGAGCTGCTCAACTCCAAAACCTATTCTTTCACTATATCACTATATACTATGTGGTCAGACTATAATTATAGAGCCTTCTGGGCAAACTGAGACCTCAGTACAATCACATGCAGAAAAATGAGCAGAACTTGGATCACTGACTTTTTTTGTTTATATCTGATATTAACACGTTATCTTAACCAGCAAAGTCTATTGTGGCAACGTTCTTTTGTTTTGTTTTGTTTCTTTGTGGTTCATAAAATAATAGCATGTCTTACAATCTATTGTGATTGGATTGAACAAAACACAGCAAGTTCAGCTACCATTTTATCAGTAGCCTGTCTACAAAGGGAAGGCTCATGTTGACATGAGCTATCTGGTCCCAGAATCTGCCTGGGGGAGGGCAGGTGCTCCTTCACTGTTTATTGAGGTGAATTCATTTAGGCTTAATTGGTCTGGATTTTCCAGAGCAGGAGCCAAAGTGCTTGAAAAAGCTGAACAGACCAGTGTGGGCAGAACTTCTGATGATGTAGTTGGAATATACTTAGCAGCGCTGACTGGCCTTGGTTCCTTTGGGGACTGAGGAGGAAAAAGCCAATTTTATTACAACCTGTACCATCTTTCACCTTTATGCCTTCACCTGATAGTAAATATCACTCTTTTTATATTCTGGGATCTGTCTGCTTGTTGCTGGAAGCCTGAGGGAGATAAAAGAGAATTGTGCTTTTTAAGACAGTCCTAGAGGAAGTAGAGAAAGCTCTGGGGTAGTGGTGGCACTAATTTAGGGGGCCTGGGAAAGGAGCACGGGGTGGCAGAGACTGATTTGGCAAGACTCTCATTCTCACGGATGAAAACATGAGGAGGTGGATGGCTGAGGGGTAAGTGGAATAGCAGTAACAGTGGAGTCTGGTGAGCTCCAGGGAAGAATGGCTTGGTCTGGCTTACTCTCTGCTTTTTCTCCAGCAGCAAGAACAGTGCCTGGCACATAGAGGGTACTCAACAAATACCTCTTGTTCTTGTAGAGTATCCTGCACACCTCAACCAAAATGGCTGCCTTCGGAGACACGTTCCCCTTCTATACTGGCCCCAAGTCGATCTTCCCAATGGACACTGCCTTGTCTGTCATCATCACCATTTTTCTGACAGCACTGGTCACCTTCATCATCATCCTGCCTGGCATTCGGGGCAAGATGGTGAGAAACAAACCTAGCCCTGGAAACCCCAGTCCCGGGAAACCCCTAGCCCTAAAGAGACCTAGCCTCCAAGTGAGGGGGCCAGACTCTCTGACTACAGCTGGAAAAGAGACTTCTCAGGAGAAAACTTCACCTGTCCCACTCCCAGCAGAGAGCTTCCCACACAATGATTCAGCAGATAATTATTGATCACCTATTATGGCCCAGACACTCTGATGTCAATTGACCAAGTGACCTCAGTTTTAAAACAGCCTCCCCAAGTCTGGATAGAGGAAGGGTGGACTTGGAAAGAGGGTGCTCCTTCCTAAACCCACCCACCCTATGACTCAGAGGCTGTTCTGGCTGCTGCGGGTGGTGACCAGCTTGTTCATCGGGGCTGTGCTCCTGGGTGAGTGTGAAGCACAGCTGACCTGGGCAGCTGCCTCCGTCCAGTCTCGCCACTAGCTTCTCCTCTCCTGGTTTTTGCATAGCAGCCTGTGCTTCAGGGTGGGCTTCCAGATGCTGTGCACATGCCTCCTTCACCTTGGCCTTGTCCCCTCACTCTTACACTTGCCTGATGGATGTGGTCCCAGAAACCATGCTGGGTGCATCTCTCCAACCTTCCTAAGATTTTTATTCAGAAGAAAGCAGGTCAAAAGGAATGTCTGTGGAGAGAGGGCTGCAGGAAACTGGAACAAGGAAATAAGGGGAGAGGGTGGCTCTTTGCTTTGCTTTGGGAATTAGGGAACTAGGAGACATGGAAAGTTACTCGTTGAAGCTGTCTGTGTCCATCCATTTTTATTATGCCAATGCTTCCTTCCCTACCTGGGGGGAGAACAGGAGTAAGCAGTATATGACCAAGGAAAAATCTTGGATTCTGACCCACTTACTCATCCCACAAATATTGTTGGCAAATGAACCATGAGCTAGACCCTGGACTAGTTAATGGGTGTACAATTATGAGCAAAGCAGACAGGGGTCTACCGTAGCTCTCCCTCTGACTAACCCAGTAATAATCCAGTTCCCATATGTCCAACTCCCAACCCCAGCTGTAAATTTCAGTTCTGAGTGGTCTGTGGGCCAGGTGAGCACCAACACATCATATAAGGCCTTTAGTTCCGAGTGGATCAGCGCTGAAATTGGGCTGCAGATTGGACTGGGAGGAGTCAACATCACGCTCATCGGTGAGAGGGGCTCTTACTTGTGAGGGAGGGGAAGGCTGTGCTCTTGGGGATCTGCGTTTGGATTGGGGAGTGGTAGGAAGGGAAATCCCCAGGATTGGAAACTGTCTTGTCTCAATTTGAGACCATTTTCTGTCCCTCTGCCCAATGTGGTGAGTCCCAATGCTCACTGCCCTTTGAGTCCTACTGAGCACAGGCACCCCACTCCCCAGGAACCCCAGTGCACCAGCTGAATGAGACCATCAACTATAATGAGGAGTTCACCTGGCACCTGGGAGAGAGCTATGCTAAGGAGTATACAAAGGCGCTGGAGAAGGGGCTGCCAGACCCAGTGCTCTACCTGGCCGAGAAGTTCACCCCAAACAGCCCATGTGGTCTGCATGGCCGGTACCGCCTGGCAGGACACTACACCTCAGCCCTGTTGTGGTACGAGTGGGTTGGAGGCCCTGCTGGCCTAGACCCAAGAATGGGGTTTCTACCTATCTCCCTATCTCTCTTGTGGAGGTCCCTGGTGGGACAGGCTGGCACCAGTCACCTGGTACTTGGTTGGGAAGCCCACAGGCGGGAATCCCTAGGTCACATCTTTGGGGAATCCTTAGGTCCCTAAGCCTCCACCTGGATCCCTCCAGGTAGAGGAGCCTGGTCCAGTCCTCACCAGGTCCTGGCTCTCCAGGGTAGCATTCCTCTGCTGGCTGCTGTCCAACGTGATGCTGTCCATGCCCGTGCTGATCTACGGGGGCCACATGCTGCTGGTCACAGGCATCTTCCAGCTGTTGGCACTGTTCTTCTTCTCTATGGGCATGTCACTCACTCCAGCCTGTCCCCTTCGCCTGGGCACTGCTACGCTGCACACTCACCATGGCCCCGCCTTCTGGATCACATTGGTCACAGGTGAGGCCCAGTCCTGAAGACAGGCACTGGGTGGGGGTTGGGGCTCAGGGCCAGGGAGGATGGGCCAAGGACCATCATACTTGTGGGATTGATGGTCTGCCTCTGGGGCCTCCAGACTGCCCTCCTTTAAAGTCCCATCCCTCTTACAGCCCTCATCTCTAGATTTTTCTCTCCTCAGTTCCACTTCTCCATCATAATTATTTACTCCCCTGTTTTCTCTGTGTCTCTGATAAATTCTCTCAGCCCCTAACTCTCTCTTTTCCTCTTTCCACCTCATGTCCCATCCCAGTTCCCTATCTCTTCTGTGTCTCCATTCCTAGAGTCCTTCTCTCCTTTACTACTGTGTCTGCCCCCCCATGCCCTTCTCCATGCCTCCTCCTGTGTGTCTTGTACTTCTCCCAAAGTCCAAGGCTTCTCTATTTTCAAAGTGTTCTCTCTTTCTCTTTCTCCCTCCCTCCCTCCCTCCCTCCCTCTTGCTCTTTCCTGTCATGTAACTGTGAGAGCACTGGACTTTGAATCCAAAAACTCTGCACAACAGAATCCAGCCATCTCCTTGGAGGATGCTACTAATACTAAGTAATGGGACACCTACTGCCTCACCCCCAGGACTGATCTGTGTGCTGCTGGGCCTGGCCGTGACGGTGGCCAACAAGATGCAGCCCCACAGGCTGAAAGCTTTCTTCAACCAGAGTGTGATGGAGGACCCTGTGCGGGAGTGGAGTCCTGAAGAAGGAGGACTCCTGAGCCCCCGCTACCGGCCCAAGGCTGAGAGTCCCGAGCCCCAGGATATCCCGTTGTCAGAGGCTTCTGCCGAGGCCAACTGCAGTGAAGAGCACCCTGAAGAGCCTGACTGTGCCCTATAAAGTTCCCCACTCTGGTGGCCACCTGGACTTCCTGTGCGGCTCCAGATCTCATTGAAGCTCCATAAAACCACCAGAATCACCCACAGGACTGCAATCTGTAGGTGGAGTAGAAATAGAAGCATCTACTGATTGATGATAAAAAACCAAAGCACCAAGGTGCTAAATAGATGTTGGGCTCCCTATAGCCCTTGCCATGGAAAGGCCAAGAGAGCTGCCCCTGTTCCCACATAGCAACCCCACCTGTCCTTGATGCTTTGTCTCTCCCCCAATGTCATATATTGAAACCCAGCTACACCCACATAATGACAGGTGCATGTGTGTAGGGGTTGGGAGTACAGTGGGCCCCCCTCTGGTTCCTCTCATCCCTCTGCACCTCTTATTTTCCTTTTGTCCTGGGTCCCTTTGGTTATTTCTTTTCTTCCCACTTATGTGATTTCTTAGCACGACGAAAGACAGCACTAGGAGAGAAAAGGAACCCAACTTCTCCCCCCAGGTCTAATATGAACCAACTGTGCCACGTTCAATTTGAGCTTCAGTTCTCAAATTTGCCAAACTGTGTAGGGCTTGCCGAGGATATTAAAAAAAATTACCAAGATTTACATTTTTACACCTTGCTGATATCTACCTTGGCCCACAGACACCACCTTTTAGGGAATAAACGCCAAAATGCTAGTCCTTCCCGGCCCACTCGGCTGGGCCAGTGCAGGGTGACCTGGTGCCACTGTGATGTGCCATCCTGGGAGCACTGCGGTCCCGCCGCCAGGGCCTGGGGCGGCTCAGGAAGATGCTGGTTCGGATCGGCTCCCCTAGGAGCTCGCTAGAGGGAGCCCTCTTCCCAAGCCTTTTCTATGTTATTTTGGATTCTCCAGGCTGGGCATTTTTGGTTTCTTGGCAAAGGCTGAGAGCGTGCTAGGCTGCTCAGCGAAGTGTCCAGAGGACGCATATCACCCAGGAGCCTGCAAACGCCATGGAAATTAACGAGGGAAAAGTGTTTAAAAAGAGAAAAGGAAAAATAATGTATTTACAGGTCACCCTAGGAGACCTTCCCGGGTGGTGGGGTGGGCACTTCTTCCCGGCCGGCTGGCGACCGAGGTGGGGTAGGAGTCGACGCTGAGTCCACTTCAGAACTTAGTGTTGGCTGTTAAGTGGCTGAACTGTTTGTGCGATGGGTTGCTGAGGACGAAAGATGAGCCCCTTCTCGCCTGCCCACCACAGTCTTTGACGCTGTGGTCCAAGAAGATTCGAAGAGCGCTGGGCCAAGTGTAGTGGAGGGCCACCACCGCCCCTCCGAGGAGGAGGCACAGGATGCCTGCCAGGGCGAGGAAGGGAGGGGGGCTGTCAGATCTCCAAGCCAGAACCCGGTTTGCACTCCCCACCTCTTTGCCCCCCCATCCGCCCCCCTTTGCTGCCCCCCGCCCCTGTTTGTTAAGAGTCTCCCTCCAGTTTGCTCCCCAACACCCACCCACACCCCGCAGAAAGACCTCTAATGCAGGGCCTCCCTGGTGTTGCAAAGGGTTAAGCACTGCACTATGAAGCAATCCACAGCCTCTGCAGGACACGTTCCAGACCCGCCAGCCAGGGAGCAACCCAATGGCGCAGCAGACCTCTCCTGTCTTGCCCACTGCTCCCCTCAGCAGTGTTTTTCAGTAGATCCATCTGTTCTGCTCCCCACTCTGTCTCTGGTGAATCCTCTCACCTATCACACCTCTGGCCTGCGCCCCAGCTCTTGTATGCATAAATAAATAAATCTTAAAAAGAAAAGAAAAGCAAGACCTCTACTGCAAATTACATGACACACGGGTTCCCATGCTTAGTGGGGCAAGATGCCCAACCCCTCTGTAGTCCCAGTTCTTGTCTGTAAAATGGGTATACATCGGTGCCTGCCTCTGTGAACTATTGAGAGGGGCAACTTATCAACTCGTGTCAACTGCAAAGTGCACATCAGTGTGAATAAACCCCGCCCGTCGGTCCTCACCCGTGGCCAGGGTGATCCAGAAGGCGACACCATAGTGAGTGGTGAGCGCAGAAGGGCCGAGGTGGAAGGGGCAGAGCGCCACGCTGGAGATGCTGGCGAAGGCCAGGACGGAGAAGAGCGCAAAGAAGCCGGTGCTGAGGAGCGCCAGGCCCCCGTAGAGCGGCGCGGGCATGGAGAGCAGCGCGTTGGACAGCAGCCAGCTGCAGAACGCCACCCTGCGGGGAGCCAGCTCTGCTGTGAGCCGTGTTCTCGCTGTGCGCCCGGGGACCTCCCAAGCCCAACTTCCCCAGCCTTTTTCCCCGAAGTTCCCACCCCAGAACGCCAGCTGGAGCCGGGGATGGCGGGGGAGGGTACCCCGGGAAGAAGCCAGCTCTCGGTGTTGGCTGGGTTTCTTTGAATTCCTGCGGTCTGTGCAGACCGTGACCTTAATACCCGCGAGGCAGTAATTCTTGGAGCCCGGAGCTCGTCCTGCTGTCACTGCCGCTCATGTCCCCCCGGCTCACACGACCCTTCATTCTCCATCCCACGCCATCCCAGCCCAGACCCGCTCCCCAGCTCACCACAGCGTGGCTGAAGCGTAGTGTCCCGCCAAGCGATACTGGCGGTAAAGCCCACAGGGGCTGCTGGGGGTGAACTTCTCTGCCAAATAGAGAACTGGATCCGGCAGCCCCTTCTGGAGAGCGCCGGCATACTCCACAGCATAGTTCTCCCCAAACCTCCAGCCGAACTGCTCGTTGTAGTCTATGGTCTCATTCAGCTGCAGCACTGGGGTCCCTGCAGAGGGCAGAGGGTCATGGGGCTGCACACTGACCGGACCCAACGACTAAGGGGATTCGGATTGAAAAGTGAGGGTGCCAGAGAAATGGGTTGGGCGGTGTGTCTGGAAAAACACAAATCCATGAGGATCCAACGCTATCTGAGTCTGGGATGAAAGCCAGCTGCCTCTGCTACACTCCCCCAAACATGGGGTCCACCCACCCTGGGAGGTCACAGCCGCAGATTCCTCACCTGTGAGTGTAATATTAATGCCGTTCAAGCCCACATGCAGACCGACATCAGCTCGGACTCGCTCTGAACTGAAGGCCTTGTAGGATGTGGTGGTGTTAACACTGCCCACCGACCATTCTGCACTGAAGTGCACAGCTGTGGAAAGAAGAACACAGTTGGGGGTGAAAGGGTGGAAAGATGTGAAGATGGAATTGGGAGAGTGGTGATAAGAGATGGTACCATGTGCAAAGGGCTCAATCTAGGGGCCCAATGTGGTGTGCCCGGTAAGGAAAGAAGAATCAGGACTAGAAGGAGCTGAAGTCAACCCCAGGTCCCCATCTTCCCAGGTGCCCTCTACTCACCTCCCTTCTCACCCCAGGTCCTCTCCCCATTGGTTGCCCCACACACTCACCCACAATTTCGGCTCCTATGAACAGACTGAGAAGAACTCTCACCAACCAGAACCAGCGCTGTAGGAACAAGCACTTGGGTCAGGGCTGGGTACTGCCCAACCAGAGACCCCCAAGGTGTCCCCTGCCCCCATGCCATCTGGAGGGAGCTCTACTGCTTCTAACAGTTGCCCTCTCTATTGGAGCAGGTGATCAAGAGAAAGTGACTACCAGTTGCCCATCAAACTGGATCCAGGGCTTACAGACTCCTCATTATGACCTCTCCACCTTAGAATAAGTGTTTAGCTTGGCTTTTTGCTCTCAGATGCTGCCCAAGGACATCCCCCTGAGATAAAAATTCTTGTTGAGACTATCTGGATGTTGCCTGTGATTAACCCAGTAAAAGTCCCTATGCAAATATTTAAGATTTGATGGGAGAGTACAGAAAAGTTTCCTGTCTTGTAGCTGCCCAAAAACAAAGTCTCATAAGTTCCCTTGGTTATTAAAACAGTCACCTACTGATATGGAATAGTCCACTCTTTCTTCTATCTGGGCTTCCCCTCCATTTTGGGGTGGGGGTGAAGGGTATGGAAGACAACACATAGTGAAACCACAGAAAATTCAAGGCCCATCGCCATAAAGTTTTAGGGAGTTATTTGGTTGGGTAAGACATATACTGTTCCAGAAACTGTGATTGATAAGGTGCAAACCTACCTAATCCCTAAGAATGTAAAAGAGTTGCAAGATTCGTAGGGATTTTGGACAACTTTTATTTCCCACCCAGCACAGTGCCTCTGTTTCTTATACTGTCTTGTAAATAAATAAATAAATAAATAAATATGCAGGTATGGGACTGGGAATTAGAGTAGCAAGCCACCTTTGCAAAAATAGTAGTGAAACAGATTAAAGCTCTGAGTATCTCCCAAGCAGGGCTGCCATTTGTGTCTGATGTGTGTGGGGTGTGTGTGTGTGTGCATGTGTGGTGTGTGTGTGTGTGTGAGAGAGAGAGAGAGACTGACTCTGGAAGGCAAGGCTCAGGCACTGTGGCAGAGCAACAGAAGGATAGAGTGCCCCAAGGATTTTGGTCTCAGTGCTAGAAGGGGACCTGACATACATGGAATATCTGGCAGTGTATACAGAGTCTCTCATTCAGCATGACTGAACTGGGGCTGGCGGTCACTCATAAGCCCTGGCTGTTAACCCTTTGCATGGACTATTGGGCTATTCTAAAGGGATTTACCCTGTAGCTTGAATGGCAGGAAGTCAAAGGTTAGATGACCACAAGTAGGTCCTTGTGGGGTAAGGAAGTGAGGAGAGACTTTTGGCTCTGCCTCCAAGAATCTGAGTTGGTCCTTACTGTCTTCCACATCCCAACTCATAAGGCATTGACACCCTCTGGCAATCGAGGAGCTGATGCCCTAGCTCAGGTACAAACCTTAGCAATAGACTCTTCAAGAGATTCAACAGTAGATGCATAGAAAGTTCCCTTGTGAGACCGCATATTGCCAAGGAGCCAGACTGCCCTTGAATGGAACTTCTTGATTGATGTATAATGAATAGTACATCCTAAGTATTCTAAATAATGCCCAAGGCAACTGCCAAAGGAGTCTGGGATCACCCACCTGAGTTACCGACAGGTGAGAGATTGGCAAAATAATTATCTCTTCCTCCTCCCTCTAATTGAGGGCTCTGTTTTGCCTAAACACTGCATCTGATCTGACCCCTTGTCACCATGCAAACTGGGCTGCCACCATTAGAAGATTAATGAAGCCAAGTCCTATGTACAGAAACACTGTCAACTAAACAGTGATCGAGGATTGGGCAAAGGAACATGACATTGAATAGAGGTTCCATTTCCCCAATAACCCACAAGCAGGAGGGTTGATAGAAAGGAAAGATGGAATATCAAAGTAGAAAACCACCTTGGCTAGGTAGACTATAGTACTGTGTCAGGATTTAGTAATTTTTAATATTAATCAGTAAGGTCTAGTGTCCTTTATGCCAGAATGGGGACCCCTGCCAAGGTGCCCAACACCATAAAGGTATGGAAGTCATGGGGAACAGTGATGCCCCAACTCTCACCGTGAATCAAATGCTATGCTGATGAAAACGCCAAGCCCATCATGCCTGGGAAAGGTGTCATCTACTTGAATTTGCAATAAGATGTTCCACTGGGACTGGTAAGTTGTTTCTTACCCCTGGGTAAGGGGAGAACTACTCATTGTCCCACTGGGGTCCCATTGTCTGCAGGCTGGACCTGGCAAAATGCACTACATCTGGAATGGAACATACATCATTGACAGAGGGGAGACAGTGGGGTCCTGGTCTGGCATGTCCCCCACTGCCCCAGTATCTCCTCACACCTCACAGTGCTGCTCCCCCTGGTCAACATGTATGGTATGTACAGCCAGGTCAAGTTCCAAAGCTGCCAATCTCCCTCTCTCGCCTCAAGGGCAGGTGGACTTTGTTTTTCACTGGTACCATCATATGACCGCCATCTGTGTCCCCTTCATTGACCTGGAGGATGTTCTAGCACATACAGAAGCCCATACTAAAATCACTCAGCAGTTCTTAATAGTCTGTCCTTACTGAACACTGAAATGTCTTCAAATAGAACAACTGTCCTCCAGGGCCTCCTTGGTGGCCTAGGTGTTAAGTCTCAATGCTATCACCGCTACAGCCTGAGTTAGATCCCCAGCCAGGGAACTAACCCACATATGGCGCAGCAGACCTCTCCTGTCTCACCTGCTGCTCCCCTTGACAGTGAATTTCAGTAAATCTACATATTCTGCTCCCCACTCTGTCTCTGGTTAATCCGCTCTCCCTCTCGCACCTCTGGTCTACACCCCAGTTCTTCTACACAAAAATAAATAAAACCTTTTTAAAAAGAGAAACTGTCCTCCAAAAGTAGAATAGCCTTGGGCATTATTACTGCTTCATAGGGAGACATCTATTATCCAAACAGAACATTATGTGTCTATGCTTGATGAGGCTGATAACATCTTTATTAAATCACACAGGGACACCAATAAATGCCCTGAGTGATTTGACCATTAGTATAGTTCCCTTAATAAATCAATGGTTCAGGTCATGGGGTTCTTGATGTGAAAAGTCATCACTGATTTTTGGGGATCATTGTCTTAGCCTGTATTTTCTCTTGCATTTGACTGCATTGTTTCTGTGTCATCTGCCTCCAAAAACAACCAGATAATCACCAAAGGACTCCAAGCTAGTGAAACCCCCCTTGCTAACTACTCAAGGAACATTGCAAAAGAGGGGGGTGTCAGAGCCAGTCAGAAGGGATGGAATGTTGGGAAGACAATCAAAAGAACATAAGAACTGGTTGACCATTGAGCTAACCCCAGGCAATTAGAGGCTACTCACTACTCTGCACACACCCCACCCTACAATGTTTATTTCACTTGACTTCCTGCTCACAGGAAATAGGTGGTCTGCTCAAAGACATATCCCAGATGAAATGAGTTGTTGAAATCATGTGGATGGTGTATGTGATTAATCCAGTAAAAAGTCTCTATGTAAACATTTAAGATTTGGGGGGCAGGTAAAGAAAAGTCTGCTGTGTGGCAGTCAAAAAAAAGACAAAGTCCCATGAAGTTCCTAGATTATTGACACTGCTACCTACCAATCGGAGTGGTCTGGTCTGCCTTTTTCTTTGGTCCTTCCTTACCCTCTGTTGGGGGGTGCAGTTTTCAGATTACGTCTAGGTCATCTATTCTAAGGTTGCAACACAAACTCCTCTTACCCAATGCCTTTTCCCCAGTTACATTCCTGATATTTCGAGACTGATGTCAGTCTTACTTTTTGTGCAAGTCCCTCCAAGGCACTGGAATTTCTGATATTTTCTGGGCAGGTGCTACGGCCTCCCCAGCCTCCTTTCTCAGTCTACCCTGCAGCCGGGGTGTCTCTGCCTCTAACTCTTGTGCCACCTTCACTCCCCCCGCAATCTGGCTCCTGGTCCTAGTCCTGCCTCCTGCTCAGATCACTGTTATGGTGAGGCTCAGTGAGTCCAGAAGTGCTAGGCAGGTAGGGGTCACCTCCCCCAGGAGAGGGAGGCCCCACGGCTTGGTTGCCAAGTACAGAAGGTAGAAACAGCCTCTCAGCTATTCACAGGCACACCAGTTTCCCAAGAAACCAACACAGACCAAGATGCTGGGAGGCTCAATCCTAGATTTGAAAAACATACAACCTAAGTTCTACTGGGAGGAAGAGTCTAAGGAAATGTACCCAGTATACTTTGTAACCTGTGCTGGTTTCTCTGAGTCCTGAGGATGGGGGCACCCATCCCCAGACCTCTCCAAACAGTGCACAGGGGAAACACAGTGGTCTGAGTTGGTTTCTGTCCTCTTTTCTCCAAAGTCACCACCCAGAGGACAGGATGGGAGTAGAGCTGCACTCTGGGAGGAGGTGAGATTCCTGGACAGCACATGAGGGCTAGAATGGATCCCCCAGTTCCTGGACTGGGCACTCACTCTCTGTAGCAGCCCCCCCCCCCCATGTTCCAGCTGGGTGCAGCTCCAGGCTCTGATAGGCTCTCCCTGTCCCTGGGAAAGGGTGCTTGCTGCCCCAGACTTTTGGGTATGCTCCACCCATGTATCCCTCAGTTCAGTGGTTGAGACTGACAACTATTCATCAAGGACCTTGCTGAGGTCTTGCCTGGCCTGAGTCCCCTAGAGAAAAGGGGACTGATGCAACCAACCCTCGCCCCCACCTGCAGACTTGTCTCTAGCATTCCCTTACCGAGTGGCCACGAATCCCAGGCAAGATGAGCAGGAAGCTGGCGCCCAAGGCCAAGAACACCGCAATGACGATGAGCAGTGGGACGCTGAAGCCAGCGGCATGATGGGGCTGGGGATAGAAAGGCAGCACCCCATTCCACAAAGTCATGGTGCAACCGGGGCAAGAGAGGCGCGCTGGGGAGATGAGTCTGTCTTGAGCTGGGAGAGCAGGTCCCTGGCGTCTGCAGCCGGCTCACTTCTCTTTATCCGGCCCACAGCGTGCAGAAAAGGACCCAATGGGCTGGTCAAGATTGAGCCCCTCTGCTTGCCCTAGAGGAAGTGCAGTGGCTGGCTGCTCTCAGCACTCTGACTTGGCCGGGGCGGAGTCGGGTAGGCAGGAGAGCAGAATTATTCACTGACTTCTGTCATTTCTTTTCCCCAGCTCTGGAGGTTTGCAGGGCGTTTGGAAGTCTCAGCAACCGGAATCCCCTTTTATAGCAGTGGTCAATCTCACCACAGCCCGGCAAGAGGTCTTGCAAATGAGGGGCGAAGGTCACCATGCAAATAAGAGGAGCTCCGCCCTCACAAGAAGAGGGCGAACCGGGGTCCAGCTGCTCACACCTGGGGCTGGCCTGGACGGAGAGGACACCTGCATAGCAGCGAGTCAGAGGACCCAGAGGACCCAGAGGGAAGGGTAAGAGTGCAGAGAGAGGGGAGGCTGACGATCTTCGGATCTTCAGGACCGAGGTGGTGTTGGTGGTGGATTGGGCAGTATAGAAGCAGAACAGAGAAGCAAAGATTCTAAGAGGAAAGAAGATGGACCAGCCCTTGGGGTCTGATCTTCCCAGCCCTTCTCCGTGCTAAGGCATTCACCACGGACATCCACCAGCTCCCTCTAGGAGAAGCAGTTTTGGGGGGTTAAGAGTGAGAATTCCAGGTTTTGGGAGGACCGGGGGAGGCTGGAGGCAAAATCCTGCCCTTGACTGACATGCCCTAGAGGACTTGTGCCTCCCTTGGGTTTCTGTGGCTCCTAGTCAGTGCCCGCAGGGCTTCCAGGTGTTCTAAAGAGTTGTGTGTGGGTGGGTGCGGTCCTTGGTGATGCTTCTAAAAATTTCACTCTAATAGTGGAAACAATTGGCCCTTCCTTCCCCCTGAGCCTTTTGTGGCCCTGTGGGCGTATGCTGGATTGCCACCCTCATAAACAACTTGCCGTCCCCCAGACCCGCAGGGTCAGCATGCTCAGTGCGAGGCCAGAGGCACTGATGCTCCTAGGAGCTCTGTTGACTGGACCCCTGAATCCAGCGAGTAAGTATGGGGTGTCCCTAGCTTCTAAACATCACCTAGTGCTGGGAATGGGGGGAAGGGAGGGTCACAGGCAAGCGGTTTCTTGAGGCTAGGAAAGGTCTTTTGAGTCTGTGGAGTCTCTTAAGTCTCTAGCTTGGAGGCTAAGGCTGAGGCGATCTTTATCTGAATCGCAGGCTGCCAGGACACACCCTCACTGCCCTGGGAAGTGCAGCGCTATGACGGCTGGTTCAACAACCTGAGGCACCACCAGCGTGGCTCTGCAGGTGTGTCCTGTGGGAAGAAATGGCTCAGGATAGGGGCACCCGAGACCAGGCTGTGGAGACACTGAGCCAGCCAGTTGCCTGTCTCGCAGCTGCCAGCGCAAAAATCTCCAATGCACTTCTGGGCCAGAGACCCTGGGGGAGAAGTGGGTGGGGAATTTGAGGGAGGTGTAAGGTGGGGGTTGTGGGCTTCTTGGATGGGTGATCCTAGATGCAGGCTCCCTATTTCCTGCAGGGGTCAGACTGCAACGTCTAGTGCCAGCCAATTATGCGGACGGTGTGTACCAGGCTCTGGGGGAGCCGCTGCTGCCCAATCCACGCCAGCTCAGTAACACCACCACGCAGGGTGCAGCGGGAGAGCCATCTGGCAGCAACCGCACGGTGCTGGGGGTCTTCTTTGGTAAGGGTGAAATGGGGAGCAGAGGTTTACCTGGCGCTTAGCTCAGTGCCTTTGGGAGAGTGACTGGGGAGAGAGACCTCACCTCTCTCTACCCCTCCCTCCAGCACTTTCTGTCTTTCTTCTTCATTTCAAGGGATGGGGCTATTGATTAAGGGGTATTAGCTCCTCTACACTTTCCCTTACTCCAAACCCAAGAGGCTGCTGGGCCCCGTTATAGTTCTTAGGACTTGAATCCCCTTCCCAGGTGATTATAACATCTTTCTTTCAGAGAGGGGGCAAAGCAGGATCTCTTAGGAGATAGGGGCTGGCTTGAGGGAGCTTTGCACGAATTCTATTATTTTGATGCTCACAATATTTAATTCTCACAACTTTATGAGGTGGCTGAGGAAGGTACTACTTCCCCTCTTTGCAGATTAGAAAACAGTAGCAGAACTTGTGGTGGAGCTTGCTTTCCAACGGCTGTCTCGACTTGCGGGCAACCCTGGCCTTGGGGGCTGACAATTCTCATCCGTTTGTACCCCACGCCTTCAGGCTACCACCTACTCTCAGATCTGGTGAGCGTGGAAATGCCCGGCTGCCCCGCGGAGTTCCTCAACATCCCAATTCCCGCCGGAGACCCCGTGTTCGACCCTGACGGGCGCGGGGACGTGGTGCTGCCCTTCCAGAGGAGCCGCTGGGACCCCAAGACAGGGCAGAGCCCCAGCAACCCCCGGGACCTGGTGAGACGGGGCAGGCGGTGGTGCGCGCTGCTGGGCGCGAGGCAGGTGGCGCCCTGGGCCGGTGCCCGGCAGGGCTGGCTGGGGAGAGGCCACCCCCACTCCCGACAGGCACACAACCCGGGCGCCCCCCTTTGCCGCCGCGGCTCCCCGACCCCTGCCCTCCGCCCGCTTCGCCCCGCAGACCAACGAGGTGACAGGCTGGCTGGACGGCAGCGCCATCTATGGCTCCTCCAACTCGTGGAGCGACGCGCTGCGCAGCTTCTCCGGGGGGCAGCTGGCGTCGGGGCCCGACCCCGCCTTCCCCCGGGAAGCGCAGGCGCCGCTGCTCATGTGGACCGCGCCGGACCCCGCCACCGGCCGGCGCGGGCCCGGGGGGCTGTACGGTGAGGCCGCGGGGCGCGGGGGCGCGGAGCGCGGGGGCGCGGGGGCGCGGGGGGCGGGGGCTGGGGGCGGGGCGCGCGCAGGGCTCCCGGGAGGGCGAGCTGGGGCTTCTGCGCGGCGGGTCGGGGCCCCCCACCCCCGCCCCCGAGTGGGCCCGGCACTGAGTCCCCGCCTGCGTCTCTGTGGGGCGCAGCGTTCGGGGCGGAGCGGGGGAACCGCGACCCCTTCGTGCAGGCGCTGGGCGTGGTGTGGTTCCACTACCACAACTTCTGGGCTCAGAGGCTGGCGGACCAGCACCCGGGCTGGGGGGACGAGGAGCTGTTCCAGAATGCGCGCAAGAGGGTGATCGCCACCTACCAGGTCAGTTGTCCAACTCCCGCCCCTCCCCCTCCCTCTCCCCTCCCCCTCCCTCCCCTCCCCTCCTCTCGCCCTCCCCCTCCGCTCCCCTCCCCTCCGCTCCCCCTCTCCCCTCCCCTCCCCCTCCGCTCCCCTCCCCTCCGCTCCCCCTCCGCTCCCCCTCTCCCCCTCCCTCCCCCTCTCCCCTTCCCCTTCCCCCCACCCCCACCCCCGCACCCCCCGCCGCTGGGGTGGGGGTGCATCCCGGTTTCTGGGGAACTCAGGTCCCCCTCAAAGCCCTCTTTCGTGGACATTGCCCCCCAGAAACACCGTTTCCCGGAGGACACCCCTCCCCAGAGAGCTAATGTCTAGGAATAGATCCCGAAGATGATGGGGAGGCAGCATTCTGATATCCAAGAGTTTCTGCTTGTGATTACTGCTTAGAGCCACTCCCTCGTCTCTCCTACCGCTCCTCTCCTAAGTCTACCTCTGCCTGGTCCTCATCGCCCAGCTGAGTCTTACTAGGGGTCAGATTTCTCTCTCCTGGTCTGATTGCTCCAGTGTTGGTCTTCCCTCCCCTTCTTTTGACCCTCAGAACATAGCCATGTATGAGTGGCTGCCCAGCTTCCTGCAGCGCACACCCTCATCGTATTCAGGTGAGGGATTTGGGGGGACACCTGGGTGTGGGAAGGGCTGGTGGGAGCCAGAGGGGAAACACAGTTAGATGCATGTGATGGGAGGTTGTGAGGGTAAGGAGCCCGTTCTCTTATTACCCCTGTGGCAGGGTATGATCCTTTCCTGGACCCCAGCATCTCCCCGGAGTTCCTGGTTGCCTCTGAGCAGTTCTTCTCCACCATGGTCCCTCCTGGCGTCTACATGAGGTGAGGGACCAGCTGATGGTGGGAAAGGCACACTGCAGAGGTGACACTGCAGGGGCTTTTGGGCTTGGGGCCTTTTATAAATCACTAGTTTCATGTCAGAAGGGAAACATTGTTTGGGGTCTTGGAAGCGGAACTCTGGGGTAGGTGGTTCAGTCTTCTCAGGGAAATCCCCAGTTCTCCTAAAGGCTGAACTTCAGTTGTTGAGAACAGGGTGTGTCCAGCACCTGGGTCACTCTCTTTCCTCTCCTCCTCATCTTGTGTGGACAAAGAGCACCTTCTACCTTTAATCCACACAGATTGCCAAATCTCTGCTCTGTTCAAGGAAATTCAGGGGCCACCCCAGATCTGGCCAGTTGCCTCTGAGTCCCTCACCCCACTTAACCCATTTCAGTGTCTTCCTTGACCTCCCTTACCAATTCCTTGATTTCTTATTTCAGAAATGCCAGCTGTCATTTCCAAGAGGTCCTAAACCAGGGATTTAACAGCTCCTCAAGTCTCAGGGTCTGCAACAGCTACTGGACTCGGGAGGTCAGTCTGGAGTCACAGTCAGGGTCGTGGGTAAAAGTCAGTCTTGTCCCACAGACTGGATGAACAGCAATTCCAGTACTTGCGTGTTGCTGCTCCATGGTGATTGGAGATGAAGGGGTAGAATGTTCTAGAAAGTTATCTGGAGGCAACAGTTCAAGACAGTCTAAGATTGGCCATGGGGGGCCTCCCCGGTGGTGCAGCGGTTGAGCACTGGGTTGCGAAACTGCCCGCAGCCTCTGCAGCACTGGTTCGATACCCGGCCGCAGGCGAGCGTCCCACATGGCGCGCAGACCTCTCCTGTCTCACCCGCCGCTTCCCTCAGCAGTGTATTTCGTCAGTCTGTCTGTTGTTTCCCGCTCTGGCTCTGGTGAATTCTCTCACCCTCCCGCACTTCTGACTGTACCCAGTGCTTGTATAAATAAATAAATAAATAAATCTTTAAAAAAAAAGAAGATTGGCCATGGGGCCTTTTGTATGCTACAGTGGCCCAGGCAAGAGGCATAACACCTTGAATGTGTTGTTTACTTCCAGAACCCTAATCTGAACAGTTTCCAGGGAGTGACTAACTTGCTGTTGGGAATGGCCTCCCAGATTTCAGAGCTGGAGGACAGGATAGTTGTTGAAGATCTGAGAGGTGAGTTCTGGAACTGGAGGGGATGGGAACCCAGAGGCTGGGAGCCTAGGGTCCTTTCTGGGGCTAATCAACAGGTAGACCAAAGGTGCCAACAATGCAGGAACAGATACATACATTGCAAATAGCCTTAGAGGAAAATAAACTTTTAACTATTTTTTGTGTGTGTAAGTTTTAATTTAAGTGTTGCTGTTATTCCACAATGTCTTTGTTGCTTAGGTTTCTAAAGGTTTTTGTTCAGCTCTATCTTTAGAGATTAAGGAAGTAAAGGACAGGGCTTTTACAACTTGGTGACTAGAACAGTCTAGAGTCTTAGAGGAAGAATCTTGCAGGAAAGTTACCTCTGATTACACACAGTGACATTGGCCCCACATCAGTGCAAGGCTGAGGAATGCTGGGGGTGGTAGTGCCAACAGTCCCATTCAAGGCTGCTGAGCAGAGAAGGTTGGGGGAACCAAGACTATAGCCTACTCCCCTCTCCTTAGATTACTGGCCTGGCCCTGGCAAGTTCTCACGCACAGACTACGTGGCCAGCAGCATCCAACGTGGCCGAGATATGGGGCTGCCCAGCTATATCCAAGCCCTGCAGGCTTTGAAGCTGCCGACCCCCAAGAACTGGACTGAACTCAACTCCACAGTGGAATCCCAGGTCAGGAATAGTAATGACTATAGCAGTTGAAGCTTTCTTGTAACCATACTGGTCCAAATCCTTTACATATATAACTCATTTATTCTATGTTAAGAATGTTATAAGGTTGATACTATCATTACCCCATTTTGCCAATGATATAGTTGGTATGTCAGTTGTAGAGGCATGATTTAAGTTCATCCATCTGACTCCAGAATATGTTCATCCCACTACATTGTACTATTCCTGCAGGATGGCCCTTGGCATTGTCCTACTCCTGCAGAGTCCTTTCCCGTGAGCTTGGTGACCTTGAAGTTGGTAATCACTGGAGTTGGGCAGTCTGGGTAGAGATGGTGATAGGATATGGTCTTCAGGCATCTGACAGTAGTCTCATCATAAACAGGGACATACTGGCCCTCCCACCAGACTTGCCACCATTTGAGGGGGCTACTTAGGAAAAGGAGATGCCCTCAGGCCCAAAGAGCCAGCCAGCCAGCTGCTTGGGTTCTATGTTTGAAAGCCAGGGTAACATTGGTTTTCCTCCCTGGAAAACACACACACACATATACACACACACACACCCCTCACCTCACTTCCTGTGCTGCTTCAGGTGCTGGAAACCATAGCTGCCTTGTATAACCAGGACCTGTCCAGGCTGGAGCTACTCCCCGGGGGGCTCCTGGAGAGCTATGGAAAGCCTGGACTTCTCTTTAGCACCATTGTCTTTGACCAGTTTATGCGGCTGCGGGATGGAGACCGCTACTGGTTTGAGAACACCAGGAATGGGTAAGGCCTGCCGGGGTCCCCACCTCAGACCCCACCTCAGCCTGGGCCTCGGGCTCTCTGCCTGTAGTCAGCCCCCACAGGCCCTGGATTCCCACTGGCCCCACCCATCTGGGTCTCCTTCCTCATCTGAGTCCTTGGGCCTGAGGTTGCTGCTGTCTGCACCCCCTTCCCATCCCAACAATTCCTGGCTTTCTCCAACTTAGGCTGTTCTCCGTGGAGGAAATTGCAGAAATCAGAAACACGACTCTGCGGGACGTGCTGGTGGATGTCATCAAAGTGGACCCCAGTGCCCTACAGCCCAATGTCTTTGTCTGGGATGAAGGTGGGTGGGTAACCTAGATGGCAGCCAGAGGTAGGACCAAGATTTGGTGGGGGCAAGAGGAGGGAATCACTTGGTGTGTTCAGAGAGCCAGGTGCCAGGCAGTCCTTCTGTGTCAGACTTTTTTTTTTAAGATATATTTATTTATGCATATAAGAACTGGGGTACAGGCCAGAGGAATGAGGGGTGAGAGGATTCACCAGAGACAAAGTTGGGAACAGAACAGGCAGATCTACTGAAATACACTGCTGTGGGGAGCAGCGGGTGAGACAGGAGAGGTCTGCTGTGCCATGTGGGTAGCTCCTTGGCCGGGGATCGAACTCGTGAAGCAGTGGCTGCCAATAGCTTCATAGTGCTGCGTCTTAACCCCTTGCGCCACCAGAGAGGCCCCTGTGTCAGACTGTTTGAGGGAACCAATTTCCATGGTCAGCCTGGAGCGGGAAGAAAATACCTGACCCTTCACAGGGGAGACAGGAAGGATGCTTGGCCAAGGGATGGGAGGAATGGGATCCTCAGATGTGGAGGTATTCTGTGCCCTCTCCCCTCAGGTGCACCATGCCCTCAGCCCCAGCAGCTCACAATGGACGGCTTGCCTCCTTGTGCACCTCTGACTGTGCTTGACTATTTTGAGGGCAGTGGTCCAGGCTTTGGAGCCTCCATCGTGGCTCTGTGCTGTCTTCCACTAGGTGAGCCTTTTGATCTCTCTCCTAACTCTCTTCAGGCTGCCTCTCTCCCCACAGTCGGTCTCTGCCCCTCATTACCTGCTGACCTGCAGGGCCAGCCCCTTCGTACAGTTGAAGCAGGGCTCAGGGGGACTTGGGAAGGCTGGGGCAGCAGGCTAAGCTTCAGTGAGAGGCTTCCCCTCTCCGCCTGCCACTGACTTGTTTTTACCCGCTACAGTGAGTCTGCTCCTCTCCTGGATAGTGGCCCGTTTCAGGAGTAGAGAGCTCAAGAAACTAAATAAGAAAGGCAGAGAGAGTGTGAAGAAGGAGTCAGTCAATGATGGAGTGCCAGGTAAGGTGGGGCTCAGGGGAGGGAAGGAGAAGGAAGCAGATGGGGGACCCTGGGAAAAGGGTCCCGATTACATATTCGAGGAGAAAGCCAGGCTTTGGGGTGCATGTTCAGGCTGGTAGAGTGAAATTGGCCTGAAGGTAGATGCTGAGCACCTGCTTAATGGCTCTGCCCAATCTTTCCTTCCCCAGCAATGGAGTGGCCGGGCCCCAGGGAGAGTAGCTATCCGGTCACCATCCAGCTGCTCCCAGACATGAGTCTGCAGGTCCTGGACAGGCGTCTCTCTGTGCTCCGCACTGTCCAGCTGCGGCCCCCGCAGCATGTCAATCTCATCCTGTCCAGCAACCACGGATGCCGCACCCTGCTGCTCAAGATCCCCAAGGAGTATGACCTGGTACAGCCGAGCTTGGCTCCCACTGCCTGGCTGCCCTCACGTTCCCCCTCACAGCAAGTCCTCTTTGGTCACCTCTGCTTAGCTGTAGAGCTCAACTGGGAAAGCTAATACTGGGGAGAAGCATTCCTTTCAAAGGTCCCAGACTCAACCTGAGCCTCCCTGTGATCACTCACCTGGCCCCAGCCTGCATGGCTGGGGGCACCTTTTCCCTTCCAACCCAAGGCACTTTGAGGAGAGGCTGGACCAGAAGCCAGAGCTCCAGGCAATGTCATGGCCTTCCTCCCTCACAGGTGCTGCTGTTTAACTCTGAGGAGGAGCGAGGCGCCTTTGTGAAGCATCTGCAGGACTTGTGTGTGCCCCAGGCACTGGATCTCAGTGTGACTGAGATGGCTGAGCAGGAGCTCTTCAGGAAGGCTGTGACCAAGCAGCAACGGGGCCGCATCCTGGAGGTCTTCTTCAGACACCTTTTTGCCCAGGTGCCTTGGCTATGCCTCTGAGAGATAGAATAGAGCCCAGGGGTTGCAGGGAACCTGAGCAGGACAGGACCCTATGTGGGGAGAGCTGATCTTCACATCTGTAGATTAGAGACAGACAGCCTTGGTGGAGTCCTGGCTCTGCCACTCACTAGCTGTGTGACCTTAGGCCAGGCACACCATCTCCACTCTGTGCCTGTTTCCTCACCTATAAAACAGCGATTAACATAGGATTCATCTCCTTGACTTGTGAGGATTCAGTGAGATTGTCTGCACTAGTGGTTCTCAGAATGTATCCCCTGCACCCATAGCATCGGCCTCCCCAGGGAATTTGTTAGAAATGCAAATTCCCAGGTCCATCCGTAGATGTAATGAATGAATCGGGAACTCTAGGGTTAGGGCTGTGACTCACCCTGAAGTTTGAAAAAACTGTTGTGTGTACAGTGTGTAGCCCAAGTGATACATGGTAAGTATTTAACTACATGTGTAGTTACATGTGTATAACTTTTAAATTCTTTTTTTTTAAAAAGATTTATTTATTTATTTATACAAGCACTTGGTACAGTCAGAAGCGCGGGAGGGTGAAAGAATTCACCAGAGCCAGAGCAGGGAACAGAACAGGGAGACTGACAAAGTACACTGCTGAGGGGAGCAGCGGGCACGGCAGGAGAGGTCTGTGTGCCATGTGGGGCCCTCGCCGGTGGCTGGGGATCAAACCGGCACTGCAGAGGCTGTGGGCAACTTCGCAACCCAGTGCTCAACCACTGTGCCACCAGGGAGGCCCTTATAACTTTTAAATTCTTTAGACAAGAAGCAAAGACCAAATCAGGCACATAGCCTGCCTAAATTGACAAGAGAGCATCTCCCTTGCCTCTTCCTGCCTGTCCACTCATATCATCTATATCTTCTGTCCCCAGAGTAGGCTTTCTCCCTTTGCATTCCCAAATTTTGCGTGTCCCATACCCACCTTTTCCCCCACCCAGACCTAGCACCACTCCTTCTGTAGGAAAGCTCCTGGCTCGTGGGCCCAGGGAGAGAATGAGCCAGCAGCTAGAGATTGCATTTACCTCCTTGATAGGAGAGCTGAAGCCCCAAGGCAGAAATACACCTAAGGACTAGGAGCAGACACCAGGGCTTACCCTTTCTGAGTTGGACTTTGGGGAGATGTGAAGGGTTACCAAACTGCTTCCAGCCAGCCCTTGTCTCCTCTTCTCCCCCCTGCTGTGGCCTGACTGCAGGTGCTCGACATAGACCGGGCGGATGCAGGCACCCTGCCCCGGGACACATCGCAGAAGGTGCGGGAAGCCCTGGCGTGTGAATTGAGTAGAGCTGAGTTTGCTGAGTCTCTGGGCCTCAAGCCCCAGCACATGTTTGTGGAATCCATGTTCTCTCTGGCTGACAAGGATGGCAATGGCTACCTGTCCTTCCGGGAGTTCCTGGACATCCTGGCGGTCTTCATGAAAGGTAGGGGAAGATGGGCCATCAGCCCAGGCGCCAGGTGTCTTTCAGTAGAGAGGTGACCTGCTTCCCCCTTTTTTTTGCCAGGCTCTCCAGAGGACAAGAGCCGCCTGATGTTCGCCATGTATGATCTTGATGGGAACGGCTCCCTATCCAAGGAGGAGTTCGTCACCATGATGCGGTAAGGGAGGGTGTGTGTGTGTGTGTGTGTGTGTGTGTGTGTGTGTGTGTGTGTGTGTGTGTGTAGGTTTCCAATCTTGAGATTTCCTGATGCCTTAAACAGGAAAACAAGTCAGGTCAGAGGAGGTGCCATCTGCATTGAGAAGTAGCCTAGATAATTTACCCCAGACTCTCAGAGCATGGGCTTCAAAAGTGTACCCCACCAGGTCCCTGCCTCCAGGAAGGTCTGTATCTTCACTGTTGGTACCAGTCTGAAAATTCTCCCTAGTTAAAAAAAAAAATCACCAATATAACCAATGTCAAAGTCCACTACCCCCTTTCTCTCAATACCTCCCTCACCATCCCTGGGCATCCCCTTTCATGGTCCAGTGTGGGCACAGACAACCAGGAGGGCTAGGAGGGGGGTATAGCTACAATGGCTGTTGTGTCCTCATGCCAGCAAGCCAGGGCACTGGCAGGAGTTTAAACTGTAGACTGTTTAAACTCTTTTACAGCATCCTACTCGTGTGCCTTACACAGTGACTCTTCTAATATCAATCACTCTGACAGGTGGGAGGATAAACCCAGAAGGCTCTTCTATATTCCAACCCTTCTGTCTTCCTGCTTCTTAATGGAATAATGGAATTTCTGCTTGTGGTGTGCCAATAAAGGCCAAGTTGAGCTGTTACACTCATTCCTGAAGACACTACTCCAGCACCTTTTACCCCTGGAGACAGGGCTCATATCTTTCTTTATTCCCTTCTGAACACATCCCCTCCACACTGTTTTGGGACAGAACAGGCATCCATACTTAAATGAATGAGATCAGATAAATGAGAGAATGAATAGTGTAGGCATAAAACAGCCCAGGTTCTTTTAACTGTTCCTCCCCGCTAGTTTTTGTTCATTTTCTCAGAATTCCATATCTCTCTTACAGTCCAGATACTGCAGCTGAACATGGGCTTCTAAAGGCTCTAGGGTGAAGCTGACTACAGTCCAACCTGCTAAGTGTGCCATTACAGGCCCAGCCCTGGCAAGGATCTAGGGCATCTGGGAGATGGTCTTGCCCCTCTGCCCCCACCCTACAGCTGAGCTCCTACCTTCTTGTCCTGTAGTCAGTGTGGGCCTTGCTCAGTCTCGGTGGGATGACATGGTTTTTCAGTGTGATGGTAATGCTTGCTGTACTTTGCAGGTCTTTTTTCTTTTAGACTCACACAAACTTGCATGGTCTGGTTTTTTTGTCCCAAGGCACAGCCTAAGAAAAGAGTATGGTCATCACAGCTGTCACTCTGGGTGCTGTTAGATTGGGCATGGAGTCACTCCTGCCTGTGCCCTGGCTTGCTGGCATGAGGACACAACAGCCATTGTAGCTACACCCCCTCCTGGCCCTCCTGGTTGTCTGTGCCCACACTGGACCAGGAAAGGGGATGCCCAGGGATGGTGCGGGAGGTATTGAGAGAAGAGAACAGGCAGAGAGTCTGCCATGCAAGAGAGCTGTGGCCTGGCTGGATGTATCCCTATATTAAGGAATTTTTATACCAACTGTACGTGTCCCAGTTTGAGGGCAGCTTTCTCTAATTGTCCAAGGTCACTTTCATTTTTGTTCTGTCTTTCAAACCTGTGGCCACCCCACCCAGCTTATTGTCAGCTGCAATCTGGAGGAGCACCTTCCTGGGGCCATTTCCTGGGTACTGATAATCCGGGGCTGCCCCACCCTGCCCCTGCCTGAGACTGACATTGCTGGGTGACAGGTTGCTCTGTCTCTTGTCCTCCCCCAGGTCCTTCATCGAGATCGCCAACAACTGCCTGTCCAAGGACCAGCTGACTGAGGTGGTGGAGTCCATGTTCCAGTCGTCTGGCTTCCAGGACAAGGAGGAGCTGACTTGGGAGGACTTCCACTCCATGCTGCGGGACCATATCGATCTCGGCGGCTTACAGCTCCGTGTCAAGGGTGGAGGTGTGTGAGTTAGGAGTGATCAGAGTCAGGGAGGGACGGTTTTCAGAATGAGAGTTCCCGGTGGGTAGGACTTAGGTCTTATCTCTCTCTTAGCCCTTGGTGCCTAGTACAGAGCCAGACACTTGTAATCAAGATGGTCACATACAACTGTGCAATTTGTACCCTGCACAAAGATGCCAAGTGAGAGGGCAAGGGATGGGGTGAGGTCCAACTACGTGCTGCTCACCAAGCCATGCTCATAGGTCTGGTGTATCTGTCTAGAAAAAGAGACACTATTTTCTTTACACAAAGGATCTTCAGGGTTACTTCCCCACAGAAGGAGTCATCTTTTCTAATGGCACAGAGTCACCACATTGCCTGCCTGTGGCTGCCCTGTGCACAGTGGGTACTCAGGCAGAGAGGAGAACAAAGCTGGAGCAACAGCTGAGGACATGACCAAGTCACTGGTGTGCTTACCCCTTCTTGGAGGGGTAGGGAGAGAGAGACATCACCACCTGTGTGGGGAGACTTGGCCAATTCTTGTTCTTCTCTCCAGGTGCTCGAGACATCTTTAAACCAAATATCAGCTCTCGAGTCTCATTCATCAATCAGACTTCAAGAGAATGGTGAGCAAGAATGGGCATACCCTTGCTAAGTTCCATGCAGAGAAATGAACAAAGTAGGGTGGACTGAGTTAGCCTTTGGGTCATACATCTGCCCTCTGAAAGCAATTCTCAGAGCATGGTGGTCCTAACCTCCATTCCAGCTGCCTCCCCATCTTGGTTCTGGGCCACTCCAGGACAGAATCATTCTACAAAACAGATACCAGATCATATTCATTTGTTCTGCTTTGCCTCCTCACTGCTTCTCTCTGACCAGTTTCATGGGCTGGTTCTGTGGGCAGGGATGGGCCCTGGAATCTATCCCACCCCCATCCCAAACTCTGACCTGGTGGTTCTTCTCCTGCTGAAAGACAAGAGGAGAATGAACCCCCTTTTCCTTTTCTCAGCTCCCACACCCAGAGAGTGATGTCCCCTGCCTCAGAAACATCAGAGTCAGGAGGCCCTGGGCTAAAGAAGAGATTTGGCAAAAAGTGAGTGTTTCCCAGATCCCCTGCCTTGACATACAAGGGAACAAACTGTCTTACTCCATTTGCCCCTGACCTGATGGGCAGGCTAGAATCAAATGGCTCTTCACCCTTTTCCAACCTCTGTACCCTAATCTTCAGGCAAGTGGCCTGGCATTCAGATGCAACACCAAGATGGCAGCAAGGGAGTCTTTTGACTCCTGCCTGCCGTGGATACAGCAAAAAACAGTAGGAGAAAGGACAGGACAGAAGAATGCGAAAGTGCAGTAGTGGAGAGACAGAAGACTGGGTTGATGGGGCAAATAAATAGGAGGGGTAAAGTTTTGGGGCAGTGGGAGTCCACCCCCAAACTGTTTTTTTCTCCATTCTTGTGACCAGCCCTGACTCTGCCAGGCCTTCCCAGGGTGGCATTCAGGGGAGCCCAGGGTGACGGAAGGGGAACTACCCTGGTGACTTCATGGGCACCCCACCTCCCACTGCTGTAGGACAGCGAGATCCCTTCCCCGAGTATACACAGAGGCACTGCCGGAGAAGACGCAGCGGGGCTTTCTGGCCCAGAAGCTGCAGCAGTACAAGCGCTTCGTGGAGAACTACCGGAGGCACATCGTGTGCACTGCCATCTTCTCAGCCATCTGTGCCGGCCTGTTTGCAGAGCGTGCTTACTGTAAGAGTTCCAGGGCGTGGGCAGTAGGGGGGAGCATGGAGAGCCCTCTGCTTGCTCTTCCTGTGCCTCGGTGTCTAGATGGGGGCAACCCAGACATTCCAACTCAGACTTGGGACCTTTATGCCGCGCTGATCCTGCCCCACTCCACCTCCAGACTACGCCTTTGCCTCACCATCCTCGGGCATAGCAGAGGCCACCTTTGTGGGCATCATCCTGTCGAGGGGCACTGCGGCCAGCATCTCCTTCATGTTCTCCTACATCCTGCTCACCATGTGCCGCAACCTCATCACCTTCCTGCGAGAAACCTTCCTCAACCGCTACGTGCCCTTCGATGCCGCTGTGGACTTCCACCGATGGGTCGCCATGGCTGCGGTTATCCTGGCCAGTATGTGGGCATCCTCCCCATTGCTGAGCCCCCCCCATGGGGGAACATAAGGAGGACTCGACTTCCACCTACTTCCATGTCTCCTCCCTGTGCCTCTCGTCTCCTTTGGGGTCAGAGTTGGCCTTGGGTGGCATCTCTAACAGAGTCTGTCTTTTTCAGTTGTGCACAGTGCTGGCCACTTGGTCAATGTCTACATCTTCTCAGTGAGCCCCCTCAGCGTGCTGGCCTGCATCTTCCCCAACACCTTTGTGAATGATGGGTCAGTTCTGGGAGGGGTCTCCCTCAGAACACCTAGCCCAAGGGTATAATAGAAAAGAAATGATAGCCCTAGACACTCCACTCTCTTCACTGAGTGAAAGTGAGAAGCTAGCCCCCATGGAGAAAATGAGAGGTGACTTCCTTAGCTTCAAGACAGAAGCTGCTGTGATTGACCAGGAAAGGATTTGGGGAGATAACGTTGGAGATTCTTTCTCCCATGCACCTGACACACAATTTGCTATCTCAGCCTGACATCCATTCACTGGTCAAAAATTTCTGAAGCACATCTTATGTGTCCATCCAAGTGTGAAGAGGAGGGATGTTAAAATGTATAGTCATTCAACAATTACCTGCTGAGTATTTATGACATGCCTGGCATTGTTTAAGCAAAGAGATAGGGCAGTGAGCAAAACACACACCCCTACCCTCACGCAGCTTACAGAAGATGAACCAAGTGCTCAAGGAAGCAAAGGTCAATTGCCTGCTGAGAATTCAGAATGAGGAAGAATTGCTGAGAGAGCAGAGTGAAACAATGGGAGGGTGGGTACCTTATTCCTTGGAAGAATCCTGGACCCTCTGGGTAGAAGCCCAGCAGCATAGCAGTCAGGGCTGCAGGAACATGGTAACAATGACCCAAAGGTGAAGCCCTTCCCACCCCAGCCAGTCTTCATGTGCCTTTGCCCCACAGGTCCAAGCTTCCCCAGAAGTACTTCTGGTGGTTCTTCCAGTCTGTCCCAGGTAGGAAGTGGTATTGTGGGGTTCTGTCTGAGAGCTTCTGCCTTTGTCTTCATCTTCTCATTAATACACGCTTATCTAGAGTGGTCATAGTTTCTCTTTCTAGTTTTTGGGACAAGCCTCATCTCCATCTGCTTTAGGCAAGCTGCTTTCCAGTGGGGAGAGAAAGAAGTCAGGGAGGGAGGGCAGAGGGCAGAGAATGTTCAAGTGTGTTCTCAGCCCAGGTCGAGGTCCTGAGAGTACTCTCTGACTCTGCCCCCCATGCCTTCAGGCCTGACAGGGGTGTTCCTGCTCCTGGTCCTGGCCATCATGTACGTCTTCGCCTCTCAATACTTCCGGCACCGCAGTTTCCGGGGCTTCTGGCTGACCCACCACCTCTACATCCTGCTCTACATCCTGGTGAGGGACTTCCCTGGACAGGGCCAATTCACAGGGCAGGAATGTGCATTCATGATGCAGGGGAGAGTCAAGCTGAATTGGATCCAAGATCTCAGATTGAGAACTTGAGATCTGAAGCTCCAGACTCTGAAGCTTATGCTAGCCCCATCTGCCGAGCCCAAGTCCAAAACCCAGGCAGAAAGTGACAGGGCACGGGGGTATCCGTGGCCTGAGCTATACTGACTGTCCTTGTCTCCAGACCATCATCCACGGCAGCTTAGGCATGGTCCAGCTGCCCCGCTTCCACATCTACTTCCTGGTCCCGGCACTAATCTATCTGGGGGACAAGCTGGTGAGCCTGAGCCGGAAGAAGGTGGAGATCAGCGTGGTGGAGGCAGAGCTGCTGCCTTCAGGTACCAGGCCCAACCTGACCCCGGGTGGGGAGCTCTGGAAATCAACTCATGGGACATGGGGAGATAGCTCTCTGGGTCTCCTGACCCCACCTCAGCTTCTGAGAGCCTCCCTGGGGCCCCTGCATCTTTCCTGATACAAATACAGCCCCATAAAAGGTTAACCTCCAAGAGTACTCACAGTGAGAAGTGACGATGAAAAGAGGCACCTGAGTCCCACAGAGGACAAGAAAGGGCAAGAGAGACCCCCATGCGTGTGGATCAGGTGCAGGGCAAGCAATCCTAGGTCCTTCTCTCATCCCCTCTGGCAGAATGACCTCCCTTCAGAGAAAAATAAATGGCCCAGCTGGTGGGAATCTGTTGTTGAGAGTCAGTGTTGATTCACATCACCGTAATGGGTGGTGGACGATCACTCTTTAGGGTGTCATAGGGCGCTCTAGCCTTCAGGTCTTACATAGTGAAGAAATTAACTTCAATTCAATTTTATTTCAATCACACTCATTTAAAGACAAAGTCTCAGTGCAGTGCTAGGTTGCCTTTTGCACCCTCTTGCACGTGTGAATCTCCCTTTTCAATAAAGAAAGAACAGGTCTGAGGCTCAGCTAGGGTCAGGCCACAGTGTCCAGGAAAAATGTGATAACAAAATGCCTTGCCTTCTACTTAGAACACATGAGACTGGTCTTCCATCTTGTTAAGGTAAAGCAAGTTGAAAAAGTCAGTCAATTTAAAGAAAGCAATCCGAGGCCCCTGACCTAGCAGGCTGGCATCCACGATAGAGGTATCAAACCGGGGTCCTTCGTGGGAAGAGGGAGGAGAGAGGAGGAGAGAGGCTGGAACAGGGGCATGGAGCCCAGTTCTCAGGTTATCCAGACAACAGAGAGGTGACCTCCAACTCCCAGCCCCAGGAAGCCCACTTGCTCAAACCATGTGACCACTCTTGTTCCTCGGGTGTGTGGCGAGGACAGGGTACCTGCTGGTCCCCAGGTACCAGGAGAAAACTTTCTGATCCCTGCCTTCCCCTGCTGATGACCCCCAGGAGTGACCTACTTGCGGTTCCAGCGACCCCAAGGCTTTGAATACAAGTCAGGACAGTGGGTGCGGATCGCCTGCCTGGCTCTGGGGACCAACGAGTACCACCCCTTCACACTGACTTCTGCGCCCCACGAGGACACGCTCAGCCTGCACATCCGGGCAGTGGGACCCTGGACTATTCGCCTCAGAGAGATCTACTCACCTTCAAGCAACAGATTTGCCAGATACCCAAAGGTGTCCTTCACTGGGAATGACCTTGGGGCCTCTGACATGGGTGGACAGTCTCTGTTCTTGCCTACCCTGTGACTAGACCCAGCTCCTCTTCTTGCTCCTCCCTTCCCTCACCCCCCGCCCAGCCTCATTTCTGGACAGGACCAATCTCATCTCATCTCCCCCTTCTCTATTGGCAGCTGTACCTCGATGGGCCATTTGGAGAGGGCCACCAGGAATGGCATAAGTTTGAGGTGTCAGTACTGGTGGGAGGGGGCATTGGGGTCACCCCCTTTGCCTCCATCCTTAAAGACCTGGTCTTCAAATCATCTTTGGGCAGCCAAATGCTCTGTAAAAAAGTGAGTGTCTCTCCCATCCTTTGAAGAATCAGGGATAGACAGCCACATCATAGCAGAGAAGCATCAGAAAAAGCCCCTGGTTCTTCGGCACTGGGTCTGCCAGGACCATTCATACCCAGTTGTCCAATGTTATCTACTTGAGGGAGGATCAGAGGTGTAGTCAGAAGGGCCATTGCTGAGATCTTTGGAGTAGAAGTCTTAGGTCAGGCTGTGGATCCTGCTAGGGGTTTGGTGTCATGGGTGGTCTGGGACTTCCCAGTCCCGCAGGTGCAGGCATCTAGGGTAGAGGAATCTCAAGCTGAACTGAGTCCTGATCTCTGGCTATGGGTCCCCAGATCTACTTCATTTGGGTGACGCGAACCCAGCGGCAGTTCGAGTGGCTGGCTGACATCATCCGGGAGGTGGAGGAGAATGACCACCGGGACCTGGTGTCGGTGCATATCTATATCACCCAGCTGGCTGAGAAGTTTGACCTCAGGACCACCATGCTGGTATATCAGGGACAGCCAGGCCGGGCAGGTGGGCCACCGTCTAGACTAGATGCTAATTTGGTCCTGTGTCACTCTACCTTCCTCTTCCACTCTTTCTCCCAGTACATCTGTGAGCGGCACTTCCAGAAGGTGCTGAACCAGAGTCTGTTCACGGGTCTGCGCTCTGTCACCCACTTTGGCCGCCCCCCCTTCGAGCCCTTCTTCAAATCCCTGCAAGAGGTTCACCCAGAGGTCAGTTCCATCCCAGCCTTCTGGAGACTATGGCCTTCTCCTGCCACATGCTGGCCCTCAAGCACCCTGCGGTTCTATCCTAAGCAAAGATCCCCCAACCCTGGTCCCAAGGCGGGGGTCCAGTATTGAAGGAGGGCTTCAAGTCCTCCCACACCTATCCCTAGCTCAAGCCTCCTGCTCAGGCCTGGGGTGGATGCCCAGGTCTTTCCAGTCAGACTTGAGAATCAACTTCCTCCTGGGAGTGAGCATCTCAAGCTTGCAAGTGACTTCTCTCTGAAACCACTCCCACTTGACAGGTGCGGAAGATCGGGGTGTTCAGCTGCGGCCCTCCAGGGATGACCAAGAATGTAGAGAAGGCCTGTCAACGGATTAACAGGGAGGACCAGGCCCACTTCATTCACCACTATGAGAACTTCTGAGTCGGCACCCCCTGGCTCCAGCTTTCCCTCTGTGGAGCAGCCCTGCATGCAGCATCTCTGTCAGAATCTGCTAGAGAGCTGGGAGAGCATTTCCCTCATTGGCCCATCTGACCTGTGTTCTGAGAAGGTAGAGAAGACCCTTTACCTCAAGCCACCGCAAGGAGTGGGCAATCTGATATGAAGATAGAGCTCAGACTAAGAATCTCAGAGCTTCTTTGAGAAGCTGTGTGAGTCTTAAAACCTGGACAGCCCAACTGCCTTAGCCCAGTCTCTGGCCTTTCCCCTCCAATTCCAACCCACCTTCATTACACACACGTTCTTGCTACTCTGGAACCCTGACGAGCAACCAGGGAGCAAAGATGCTTCCCTATTATCCATGATGTGCCTGGTGCCAGCCAGCAATGCCGATTGCCCTGATCTCTTGGTGGGCCCCTCTCTGAGTCTACTGGAGCAGCCCCTAGATGCTGGGGCCCGAGGGGTCCAGCCTCTCTGCGAGGCACCCAAAACTCCCTCTCAGTTTCCTCCTTTCACAGGAGTTGGGCGACCAGCTGTCCCAATTTGCCCAGGCCTATCCCAGTTTTGATACTGAAAAAGTTTTGTCCTAAGAAACCCCTCAATCAAATCAGGACAATTGGTCACTTTCACCAGGAGCCAATCTGTGATGTCGCTTCCATTCTTGAATTTTTGTGTGTCTTTTCATTTTTCAAATGACTCTTTCTTAAAAAGCTGAGCTTTAATTTTTTCTAAATTTATATATGGTTTGCCTGCAAACCTTACCAAGTGCATGTATTACCATTACCCAAGTCAATATTTCCATCATCTCAAAAATGTCCCTTGTACGCCTTCCAGTCAATCTCCCCCACCTCCTAGAAGTAACCACTGATGTTATTCATGGATTAAGTTGGTCATGCTGAAAATACGATCTTGAGACTGGCTTCTTTCACCCCCCAGCACAATGCCTTTGTGCTTCATGCATGTTGTTGTGTTTATCAGTAATTTGTTCCTTTTTGTTGCTGAGTTGTGTTCCATTGTAGCGATGTACCAGTTTGTTTATCCATTTTTCCTTGATGGACATTTCAGTTGTCTAGTTTTTTATAATTATGAATAAAGCTGCTATGAACACTCCTATACCTGTCTTTTGGTGGATTTAATGCATTATTCTTCTTGGGTATATTTCTACGGGTGATGCTATAGTGTTCTTTGCCCAATGTATAGGACCTGTGATGGGGAGAGTTTCAAGCCATCTCTATCCCTGCCCCTGGCTCCTTTCCTTGTTGGTCCTGCCCTACCTCTCTTCTGATAGGACAAGAAGGGTACTGGATCAGAAACCAAGAGATCTGAAGTCTAGTGCAACTTTACCCCTAAAGAGCTACAAAAGAAAATCCCTTAACTTCCCTGAGCCCATTTCCTGATGTATTAAAATGTCTGTGTTGGGCCTCTCTGGTGGCGCAAGGGGTTAAGACGCAACCTATGAAACTATCTGCGGCCACTGCAGCATGAGTTCAATCCCCGGCCAGGGAGCAACCCATTTGGCGCAGCAGACCTCTTCTGACTTGCCCGCTGCTCCCCTCAGCAGTGTATTTCTGTCAGTCTGCTTGTTCTGTTCCCCACTCTGTCTCTGGTGAATTCTCACCCCCTGACACTTCTTGCCTGTACCCCAGTTCTTGTATTCATAAATAAATAAATCTTAAAAAAAAGTCTGTGTGGGTAAAAGGAAGTCAGATGAAACTGGCCCCCAAAATTATACAGATGAGAAAACACATGAGAATATATTATACAATTACAATGTGTCATGATTATTAATTCACTTATTTATTAACATCATCATGCTTCCAACCTCCTGCTTCTCTCCAGCCATTAATACTAGACTCCAGCCCTTTAGCTTTATTCCCAAACCTGACCCATCAGTGTCTTCCTTATCCCTTTCTAAAGACCATTCAAAACAGTTGTCTTTCCGATCCCAATTTACCTATCCTTGCTAGACTAGAGAACATTGTTAACAGGGCTGTCATGATTATCCAAACACTCTCTCCTCAGCCCTGCCCTCCTTGCTATGCTAACACCGAATTGGGGGCTTCCTGAAGATTCTAAAATCACTCTTTTCCAACATCCACTCTTGTCCCCAGACAATTCCAAATTCATGTCCAACTGGAAGGAACCACATGCCTTCATGATCTGTAGCCTCAAGTAGCACTTGGTCTGCCTATCCTCAGTCCTAAGTTTTAGATGCCAGCCCTAGGCACATACTCACGCTGCTCTAATCTTTCCCAGATTCCTGGAAAATTATTTATTGCAGGGATAAAAGTGAGGGACTTGCAGAGAAGATAGAAGTATATTCAGCCTAGACTTTGTCAGGACTCTCAACTGGTCCCACCCTTCCTAGGGCTTGGTGACCAGGCCTCTTTGGGTGGCAGATTGGAAGACAGGATCAAGCAGCCATAAAGCGATGTGTCTTATGGTTGAGTAAATGAGGTCATCGACTGTACAAGTGGGTTTAGGGGAGAAATTAGGCTCTGGAAAATATAAACAAGCAAGACTAGAAAAGACCCAGGGAAAGAAGCCTGGGGAGATATGACTCAGAGGAAGGTCATGATAGCTTTATTGACAGAATAAAAAATGCAAATCTTCTCTACTTCAGATCACAAGATGTTGGTCTCAGGCCCTGGGACAAAACCTTGACCCCTGATTCACATGAGCAGGGATGAGTCTGACAACAAAACAAGACTGGAGAAGGAATTGGGATTGAATGGTGGGATTGAATGGTGATGGGATGAGGGATTGTGAAGAGAAGGATGAAGACTGATTGGAAGAACTTTGGTGAAGGAAATGGAGAGGGGCAGCATTTCTACCCATTTGTCAAGACTTTTGAATAAGAGCTATCAATCTAGCATAGTAATTAAAAATAAGGATTCTTGAGTCATATTGGGGCTTGGTCCCAGATTGAGCAAACAAAGGAAACTTGCTGATTCTATATACCCCACCACAAAACAGGGATAACACAAGTATCACAGAATTTTGGAAGATTGAAAATATAATTCAAGTCAACAAATTTGTGCTGAGCATGTTCTACGTCCCAGACATAGGACCAGCTCCCGTGGAACTTACATGTGGGGAAAATGAACAAAAAACAAGTAAAAAATAAGAAAATATGCCAGATCATGATAAAGTACTTACAGAATAATAAAAAAATAATATAATAGTGAGTGACCAAGGGGGACCTTTTAGATAAGATGATTAAGGAAAGGCCCCCACAAGATTTGAACAATCAATGAACAGAGTTTGCTAGTAGTACTGTGTGCTAGATGTATCAACTCACTTAATCCTTAGGAAACCTGTGAGGTAGGGATTCCCTATTTCCCCATGTTACAAATTAGAAACTGAAGCACAGATACTTCAACAACTTGCCCAAAGTCACTCAGCATGTGAGAGAATAGGTTAAACCAGAAACTTTTAACCAAAGACCTTATTGACTATCACTTTATTTTGCATCTCAAAAGCAGGTTGCAAGTTTTTTTTTTTATTATTAAAGATTTTATTTATTTATTTATACAAGCACTGGGTACAGTCAGAAGCGCGGGAGGGTGAGAGAATTCACCAGAGCCAGAACAGGGAGCAGAACAGGCAGAAGGACCAAAGTACACTGCTGAGGGGAGCAGCGGGTGGCAGGAGAGGTCTGCGCACCATGTGGGACCCTCCTCCAGTGGCCGGGGGTAGAACCAGCGCTGCTGAGGCTGTGGGCAGCTTTGCAGCCCAGCGCTCAACCGCTGCGCCACCGGGGAGGCCCAGGTTGCAAGTTTTTAGGCAAAGAAAACACATGGAAAGCCCTTAACAGCCTAGTAATATTATTGTTGCTGTTTTTATTACTACTGCTACTCTTACTACTACTATTACTACTGTTACTACTACTACTGTAATTAAGAGAGTTGCAGCTTCAAAAACCGAGGACTATGGAGTGGTCGGGGCTTGAATGATATTGAGTGACTTGTCCCTGGTTCCGGCCTGTACTGTACTAACAACCTCCACTCTCCATCCTTTAGTCTCCTCTCTAGGAAGGAAGGAGAAGGCCTGCCCAACCCTCCAGGGACTCTAGGTCCCCAGATCATCTGGGAGTCATTCTATCTTGTTCTTGCCTGCAATGTGACATGACGAAAAAGTTGACTATCTCCCCACCCAGTATCCAGGAAGCCATAAAGGGCCTGGGAATTTCTCCAGCTGACTTAACAGTAATCTAAACTTCCTTGGAAAATGACCTCAGATGAACTGTAATATGAAGGCGCTTTCTTTTCTGACAGTGAGAGGCTGTCACGAAGATTCTAGGAAAAGCTGCCCTCAGGCACTTGTTCCTGGATCAGGACCTGGGTTCTTTTTCCAGCCTTACCACTGAAGTAACTGTGTGACCTTAGGGAAATTATTAGACTTCTCTGGGCATCAATTTCCTCATTAAGAAAATATGAGGATAGGGAAGTACCTGGGACATCCCTGGTGGCACAAGAGGTTAAGCACAGCACTGTGAAGCTGTCTGCAGCCTCTGCAGCACAAGTTCAATCCCCAGCCAGCCAGGGAGCTACTCACATAGAGCAGCAGACCTCTCCTGTCACGCCCGCTGCTCCCCTCAGCAGTGTATCTCACTCAGTCAGTCTGCCTGTTCTGTTCCCCACTCTGTCTCTGGTGAATCCTCTCAACACTTGCACCTCTGGCCTCCACCCCAGTTCTTGTATGCATAAATAAATAAATCTTAAAAAAAAAGAAAATATGTGGATTAAGCTAAAAGTCATTCCAGATTTAAAATGTCACTGTTCCCTTCTATACTCACTGTCCCAAGTGAATGGAAGTCCTATATTAGGAAAACATCTTCCTTGGCTGTTCATCCAAAGTTCAGTTGGCCAGGGCAAGGGAACTAACTTTTAAGGATTTATATGTGTTAGATCTACAGCACATTTTTATAAATGGCATCTTTTAATACTCACAAGCTCTTTGGAGGAAGTGTTTTTGCCCCCACTTTGCAGAGGAAGTACCTGGGACTCAAAAATAAAATTGCTCACTTGTATCCAGCTAGTAATAGGCAACCAGGATTTGAACTCAGATCCCATGAAATCTCAGAATCTCTGCTCTTTCTATCCTTCTGCCTCTGCAGATTTAGAAAGAGAAGCTTAAGAAGCAATCAAGAGTTTTCATAATTCATTTCTTATTATTAATTGTTTAAATAATATTTACTGATCAGCCACTATAAATACAGATCATATTAGGTTCTATGGGACCCAAAAGAAATATAAGACCTACTTCCTGCCCTCCTGGAGTGGAAAGTCAGCCTAGCTCTGGAAAATGAGGTAATTCATCACACTTATAAGCACCGTGTCTGCTCAATGTCCCTCTCACCTGTTACACTGTTAAGTCCGTGCAGGAGCCATGTTTCCCACTGTCTCTGGTGAATCCTCTCGTACACACACCCCTCCCCACCCCTGCCGCACCTCTGGCCTACACCCCAGTTCTTATATGCATAGATAAATAAAATAAATCTTTTTTTAAAAAAAAGAATATTAGCATAGAAAACCTAAATAAACAAACAAAATTAAACAAAGAATTGATCATAGTGCAAAAAATCCCCCCAAAAGCCTGGAAACTAAACAAAGAAAATAACAAGGTACAAGGACAATGCAGTGATCAGGAATAGCATGAAGAAAATACAGCATCACCTGGTTGAGGGAATGGTCTTTGGAGTCACCCTCCTGGGGCACAAACCCCCATGTGCTGGTGATCTTCAAGAAGGTTCCTTCACTGTTTGACCTTCAATTTCCTGCCAAATGTGAGGGTAAAACGAAGTCATGTCTGTATAACTCAGAAAGCAATATAGCCCTCCATGATATTTCCCTTTATCCATGTCAACTCTGAATTCAGAGACGAGATTAAATAGTATCATATAAACAGAGGTATCTGGTGAGTGGTGAAGGGGCAATGGGAAGAGATACGTTAAGAAGATAGAATACTTAAAACAAAAATACTTAAGAAAAAAAATCTTGCCTCTCAAGTCTGGGAAAAGAGAACCCTGACAGAAAACTCTGTAACTTGAAGGAAAGGGAATCAGCAACATTGGGTATGTTTTCCAGATTGTTCCTGCTTTGG